GTCATAGTCCCGCCAGTGACTCCGCTAAGGTGGTCACAAAGCTCACGTGGAGGAGGAACAAGCACAACAGGCGGCGGCGAGCGGGCTTGGGCATCTCCCAGGGTGGCTACGTGGCGCAGGCTCTCGCCCCAGGAGACAGGTGGGTCCACAGACCCAGTAACACACAGAAAGTTCTTACATGGAGAGACATCACGTCAGCGAGGAAGGGACTTTTTGCTAAATGTATTGGGGAAACTGGCCACATGGAAAGGACACAAGCAGGCCGGTCCACGCATCGGGCACAGCACTGAGCGACACAAAGCTGACACAAACGCCATACTCAAATATTGGTCAAAAACAAAATCTAGAGATCGAATTGGCTTTATCAAGTGACCAGCAGCAGCCCTCTAGGTCCTGCAAGGGCCCCCTCAGCGGAGGTCCTCACAGACCTACACAAGAAGGTGAGACAGGCTTTTGGCCAAAGAAAAGACGGCTTCAGAAAGCCCTTCCCGCACGGACGGCAGGGGCCTCATGCAGATGGCCGCGCGGGGCAAGCTTAGGAACACCGTGCTGATGGGTTCAGGGGACACTTTTTGGAGAGGCTGACCCTGCCGTGAGATCAGGAGTGAAGTCTGGCTGAGGTCCCAGCAGGAAGGACTCCCTCCATCTTGGGACTGTTTTCTTCTATTTGTAACAATTGAAAAGATGAAACAAGGGTTAGAAGAAGAAAACAGGGTTTACCTCCTCTATTATCTGCAAGTCAGCAAAACTTTCACAGCTATGGCTGAAAATCGGAAATACAGAAATGAGAAACTGAATTCTATGAAAACAAAAAATGGACAGCAAAAGACGCCGAGGCAAATGCAGGCCGTTCGGCTGTGAGGGGCAGAGAGAGAACTGTGTCACCATGCGGGACAGGCTGCCAGGGGGACAGAGCAGAGGAACACAGAAGAAACCTACCTAGGACGTTACACACACACAGCCACTTAGGGCACAACGAAGGAAGAACAAAGCATAATGTTGTGCTGGTTTCCAAAATTCTCCCATAAACCAGTGAAAAAAAATCTGATACCCATTAGGTAGGAAGGAACCAGAGCAGCAGGAGACAGGACTAGAAGCTAGACTTCCTCTCTCTGGGCAAAGACAGCCTTGCACTCTCACACAATGCAGTCAATTAGGATAATGTATATCCAAACACCAAGCACCAAAGCTTTGGTCCACTCAAAAAACAAACTTGCTGCTACGGGGAACACCCACGGTGGTTATTAAAAAAATGCTTTGCGGCAAACTGTTTAGGTCACAAAGATTTAAAATCTCATGGGCTATCATTCCATTTAAATTCCAGTGTTGTCATTAGGTCAGAACGAGGGATTTTCTCAACAGCACGAGAGTGAGCTACGAAGACCCATTCTGAGAGGTTCTCAGGCTCCCCCAGACAGCACCAGCCCCGGCTGTGCGCCTGGGGTTCAGTCAAGAGACGCGCCAGGACGACATCTGGCTGTCACTCGCGCTCCACTCACCTGCCAGGCACAGCCCGTCAAGTGACCTGAACAATCCAAGCTTTCTCTCCTCAAGATCATTAAATAACCCTAAAAAAAGGCGAATACCGGGCACACAACAGGAGTGCCATCTGCCAGGCCCCATTCAAGGTGCCGGGGTTAGATTGTCGGCTCGGCTACTGCGCCAAAAAAAAAAAAAAAAAAAAAAAAGACCATACAGATAAGTGAAAAGTTGAAAATTAAAAATCACCTGAAACTCTCCACTAGTTCCACTAGTAATGCTTTGATATATATTCCATGACTCACTTTTAATCTCAATACTATGAAGTTATACTGTTATCAGTAATTATGGGAAAATTAGTAAGACTCAGGGACCATTTGCTTTATCCTTTTTTTTTTTACTTAAAACACCTTCTATAAAAAAATGTATTTCTCTAATAATCAAAGTAAACATTGTTAGGAAAAAAACTTCCTAGTTTAAAATATAAAAAACAAATTTGGAGAGGATTAAATCTTTTTAAAGCTCTGAATGAAACGTGATGAACTTCTTTTAAACTCAGAAGCAAAGGAGATTGTAGCACACTGAATGGAAAAACCCTTTTAACTCCATTAATTTGTTAAAACTTTGAGAATAAAATCTGAACACTAATATTCTAAAACTTGAAAACTTGCTTTCCCGCTGTAAACCAGTGTCTAGTCTGAAACTCATGGGACTGTTTTTACCAGACTAGTAAGATAATTCTAACCAACTCAACAGCAGAGCTTTCATTTTCTTTCACCTACAAAATGATTTTCATTATATTTAATGAAGTTTAAAATGTCTACCTTCAATGCTACGCATTTACCTTTCCATAGTCTCTGGCTGTTTCCTCATCGGTAACCCCAAATTTCAAACAGCAAGCGTCTGTTAGTTCCTTCCACTGTACCTCAGTCAGGTGAGTACAAGCACGGAGGACAACAGCTCCCTTCCCACAAGCCCTGGGAAATGAGCAGGTGACGACAACCCACACATTGTCATTTCTCATTCCGGACCCACTCTGGACGACTGGAAGAAAACACTGCCGTCAAAGTCCTCCGTAATCCCGCACAAGGAGATGACTGAGTTAGGAAAGGCTCCAGGCAAATTCCAAACATCACATGCCCCCAGGAGCAATCCTCCGACGCCCCTGGGATATTAATGAAGCTCCTCTCTCCAAGTACTCACACCCTTGGACAACTGCTTGGTAAGGGACCGCGGGCCAGTAGGGGCGAGCAGCAGTCTGTGGAGCCCTCTGGCGCAGTGCCAAGCAGAAAGCAGCAGTTCTCCCTGGTTTAGATGGCCGCAAGGAAACAGGAAGGAAGCAAGCCTCCCAAGGACTGTGCACCACACACGCTCGGCCTGGGAGCCCTTGGGCCGACATGTCTGCAACTGCATGATCTGCTACCTACAGCCAACCTCCTTATGAGCTGTCATTCATCATTCCATTCTGACTCCAGGTGGCTGGGCATGCTCGGGAAATGTTCTGACTGGAGCTGTCTTTTTCTCCATCCCAACAAAACTAGCTAGCTTGTCAACACACGGTCATAAACTCAAGAGTAGCCAGAAGCCAAGCAGATACATGGGTGCATCGGCCAAGAGGAGATGTGAGAGTGCCAGGGCATGTCCCCCACCTGAAGAAAGGAAAATCCAAAAACCGAGAAGCTCTCTGATCACCAGCCCCACGTTGCAACTGCTGAAAGGGGCACATAAAATGAACAGTTCTTACCAAAAAGCTATGCAAAATGTCAGGGAGTCGGGGTACAGCACAGGCCCGGACTCTGCCCTCAAGGGCTGTGTGTCTGTGCATGTTAACTCTGTCCTCACTTCTGCGTCCCCGTTATTAATGCAGATTCCGTTGGAGGTTAACCTTACAAATCTTCAGATGGCAGAATTCAATGGATGTTGGAGGGTGAGTATAGTGGCAGGGCGGGCAGGGAGGGGGGACTCAACGACTGTGCCAGTGAAGTCATGTTTCCAGCTTGAAACCCACTGCCTTGACTCCAGCCAGGTCCTACTCGACAACATCTGGGAAACTCTGGCACCCCTCAGGCACTTTTGGCAGTATCCAGAAAACTTTCTAGTCATCACAATAGGGAAAGCCTACTAGCATGTGGTAGGAAGAGGCCAGGATATGGCGCCACACCCTACAGGGCACAGTCCCATCCACAATCATTTTGCCCAAAGTGTCAGAGCGCCAGTTTGAGAAACCCTCTTCTATTCGGTGATGCTGGAGCTGGGAGTCTACAAACAGCATTTTTTGAACTATTAACAAATAAAACAACCTGGATAAATCTTGGAAATACATATGGAAAAGTCTACAGTTTTGATAAATAGCAAAGACATGCAAATAAAATGAGATTTTTCTCTCTCAAACTAGCATTTTTTTCCCCCTAATACCCACTGAAGTACAAGAGTTAAATGACACATTAGAGAGAAATCATATACTGAAAGCTCTTTCAAAAAAGTAGTAAGACCTGGCACGGGGCCTTAAAAATTTTTACACTCTGATAGTAATCTCACTTTCTCTAAGGACAAAAGCCCTAAGGACTAAGTCAGGAGAAAAGCTCAGGCTTATCCTAAAGCAAATCCTTTAAGTTGTGAAGTGATGTACAAACTACGCAAAAACAAGTGTGAAGAAACTGATTTTGCGTAATATACAAACCTGAGAAAATTTCTCAAAGAACTGTCCAGTTCCTGGTTTTACATCGTACTCCAGTTATGTAAGATGTAACTAAAGGGCAAACTGGGTGGAGGAGTACACGGGATCTTTACTAACTTAGTGTGAATTCATAGTTATGTTGAAACAAGATTTTTAAAGGTCAGCCAAGGGAAAAATTTCCAGGGCCAAATTTGGGTAGCACAGTTTATAAACAGATTAAGAGACCATGTAGTTTCTTCAAAATTAACTTGTATCAATGCATAGCTTGAGTCTCTGGCTGGCACAGCTGGGATCTAGCTTCACATTGAACAGCAGCTGCGCTTCTTCAGGAAGGCACTTGGCTTTAAAGATTCAGACGTCCGTGGCCAAATTGAAATATTTCAAACAAAAAGTTCAAGCAGTGGGCAACTGCAACACGTATTAGTTTAAATTTTCTAAACAGAATAGTAAGCAAATGGTTGGCTACAATGACTACACCTCGGCCAGATGAGCTGATGGGAGGGATTAATCCTATGAGAACCAGGTGGGCTCTGACCAAGGAGGATGCTGTTTTAGCACAACAAAAAAAGCACCAACAAAACACGAAACAGAAGCATAGAACCCAAATGGCAAGGAGCACAGACCCGTCAGAAGATGTTAAGAGCTTTCTGTTTTTCTTAAGATGCAGCAGATGTCAATATACAGTATTTTCAGGTAAATGGGGAGTGGAGTTTTAAAAGAAAGCCCTTCAAGCCTGGCCTAGGCCTGGGACGGAGAAGAGGAACGGTGCTGTGTTCGCACAGGAGCAGAGCGGAGCATATTCAACGTGACGATTTCATTTTATATTAAATAAAAGCCAACCAACCAGACACCGGGGCGTCCTCGCGAGCAGCTGGACAGGCGCTCGGCAACCGCGACTTCAGGGGGACGGCCCCGCACAAACCAAAGTGCCCGCAGGTAACAAGGCGGCTGCTGATAACGGGCGTCAGGCTCCCGGGGCAGATTTCCGGTCACGCAAACACGCCCCAGCTTCCGAAGCCGGCCGCCCGCCCGCGTTCCCGAGCCCGCCCGGCCCCGGACGGCACCTTCGGGACGAGGCTGCGGCGCCCCGGGCAGCCCTCGTGGGAGAGCCCCGCGGACAGCGCCGGGCCGGGCTCGCGGGGCGCTTCTCTCAGGGACGGGGCAGAGAAAGCGCCGGGACGGACGCGGCGCTGGAGGCCGCCCAGCCGGGCCGAGCCCGCGGCTCCCGGCGGCCTCCTCTGAGGACAGAAACCAACAGCCGCGCGGCCGCCCCTCCCCGCCCGCCGCCGCGCCGCGGGCCCGCTCCCGGGCCGGGTCACACGCCGCGGGGCGCCGGGGCTCCGGGAGCGGGGCGCCCCTCCGGCGCGTTTTGGGGCGCGGTTCTCTCAGGGGCGGCGGAGGCCGCGGCCGGGGCGCCGAGGGCACGGACGGAAGCCGCGCGGGCTCCGCGCCGCCGGGCCGCCCGCTACTCACCCCGACGCCGGCGGCGCAGGATGGCGGCCTTCTGGGCCGGGGGCTGGGGCATCCTCCCTGCCGCCACCGCCCGGTGCGAGCCGCCGGGGCCGCCGCGGAGGAGGCGGCCCGCGAGGAAACGCAGCTGCCGCGCGCGCGGTGGCGGCCGCCGCCTCCGCCCGAGCGCGCGCCCGCGGGACACGTGACGGCGCCCGCCCCGCGCGCCGCGGTGACGTCAGCGCCCGCGACCCCCGACCGCTCGGAACCGGCTCCCGCGGCGACGTCACCGCCCGCGCCCCCGACCGCTCGGGACCGGCTCCCGCGGCGACGTCACCGCCCGCGCCCCCGACCGCTCGGGACCGGCTCCCGCGGCGACGTCACCGCCCGCGCCCCGGACCGCTCGGAACCGGCTGCCGCGGCGACGTCACCGCCCGCGCCCCGGACCGCTCGGAACCGCCTTCGCGTCGCTGGGGTCGGGCCGGCGGGGGTTTTGCCCCTTTAAAAAGGCCGCGTGAACGTCAGAGCGCCGCGAGCATGTCCGCAGGTGGCGGCCTCGCCTGGGGTACAGGAAACGCGGCCACGACGTCGAAGCGCGGCCGTGCCCCCTGCGGACAAGCGGGGCCCGACCTCCTGGTCCGTGAGCGCGAGTGTGGCCGCCTGCGAGCAGCCGCCGCCGCCGGCCCGGTCGGGGCCCCGGGGCCTGCCAGGCGCGCGGACGCTCAGCTCCCAGCCAGGCCCGCTCGGCGACCCGGCCCCGCGCTGCCGGCCCGCCCCGCCGCCGTCCAAATCGAACTGTGGAACCCGCCTGCCGGGGCACTGGCTGCACCAGCGATCTCCTCCGACAGCTGAGAATGTCAGATATTTAAGTTTTTGCCGGTCAGAAGGGTATGAAATGGCTCTTTGTTTCTCGCTGCTGTTTTAAATGGGTTCCTGCTATTCCGCCAAATTAATGTGCAGTGGTACAATTTAGCAGCTGAAGTCTTAGGTTGGCTCCGTTGTTGTTGGCTTTTTTAGGGTTCTGGAGAATAGCATTGAAATGCTCCTACCAGTGGCTTTAGGAGTAAACCTGGGGTCTTTGGTCGGATTAGCGTAGCGGTGTTGGTTTGTCCCTAGATGTAGTTAAGAGATGCAATGCAGGATGGCATCAAATTTGAATTGAGATAAAGAATTACTAAAATATTATTTATCCAAAATTCAAATTCAACCAGGCATCCTGTATTTTTACTAAATCTGGCAACCCTAACCCCAGATAAAGTCTGACCTTTGTTTTCTTGTCTGTGAAATAGGGATACCAATAGGACTTGTCTCAAAGTTGTGAGGTGAAATGAGAGAATGCATGCAGAGTACTTAGCACCCAGCATGAAACATAATGAAAGCCCATTGAGGGTAAGTGCTTATCATTTCATGCAGCTGTGTCTTAGCGTTACAGGGCAGGGAGAGGGGCACCCCAGAACCCCCAAACCTGCCTGCTCTAAATAGGTTCTGCCATCCGCCAAATCAAGACAAAACATAGAAGACCTTTAATGGAAAGGAACTTTAATACAATTAAAGGAACAATACAGAAAAGACAAAGAATATAGTTTCTAAATCAAGCACCCAAAGTTACCAGTCCCCTCGTGGCTAAAAGTCCACCCAAGCAGGATTGGCCTAGAGCAAGGCCTGAAAGCCTGCCACAGTCTAAAGCACCTTCAGGCAGGGACCCACAGAAAAGGATCAGAAACAACCAGACAAGTCTGGGAGAAAAAGAACAAAATCAAGATAAAATCTGCCATTGTTATCCTCCCCACGGGTCTCTCACCCACATCTGTTTCAACCAGTCCAGGACCAAGAAGCAAGCGCAGCTTCTTCATGTGTCTCTCTCTGCTCCATGTGCCTCCTTCAGATCTCCTCCTGGCTCTCCATCCTGCTTCCTTCCCTCTCCAGCCCCCTCTCCAGCTGCTTCTGTTCTCTCTGCTCAGCTCCACCCTCCTTTGTGTGGGACAGGGAACTTGGAACTTCTCCTTTTCCTGGGGACCAACCTGTTACATTAGGACTAATTTCTGGAAACATGCTTTAGGGCTTCATTTTAGGCTTGCCTGAGCATTTTCTCATACTGATGGAATCTTAGAAAAATTTAGGATGGAATGTCTCACAAGGACAAATACCTTGGGCTAGGTACGATTGATAAATCTTATTTTTTTTAATTTATTTATTTTTAAAGATTTATTCATTCATTTATTTATAGAAGCACTGGGTACAGTCAGAAGTGCAGGAGGTTGAGAGAATTCACCAGAGCCAGAGCGGGGAGCAGAACAGGCAGAAGGACCGCAGTACACTGCTAAGGGGAGCAGTGGGCACGTCAGGAGAGGTCTGCACGTCATGTGGGACCCTCGCCGGTGGCAGGGGATCGAACCGGCGCTGCAGAGGCTGCGGGCAGCCTCGCAGCCCCGCACTCAACCGCTGCACCACCAGGGAGGCCCACGATTGATAAATCTTAACAGGCTATGGAAAATTCCAGGAATCCAAGGTGTGGTCAGAAAAGGTTATCAGCCAGAGATGGGGGAGAGAAGATTCTCAATTTTAGAAGACCAACCCACTCTGAGCCCAAGGCCATAATTTCCACAATAATTCCATTCAAGAACATTATAAAAGGACACTCCTTGCCTGGCAAAATACAGCTCTTCTTTAAGACCGCCAGCCTGTGTCTGTCTTTCTCTCGCCCTCTCCCACCCTCTCCTCTCTCTTTCCCTCTTTCCTTGTTCTCTTTTCCTTAACAAACTTGCCATGTGCTGATGAAGGGGAACACTGATTCTTTCTCAGAAGGACCCAAGAGCCCAATGCACTGAATCCCATCACCTGAACCCCAACAATGCCAAAAACTGTTTTGTGAAGTCTTGAGCAGGTTAACATATATTCCTCAACTAGCTTTAGAATACAAAGCAAATTTTAACTATTCCCCCAAATTCCCACCTCTTAGCCAGTATGGATTTCATTTTCAATCATACCAAATACTTGGATGTTGATTTTAATTTCTGTTCTATCCAGAGTCAGCTGTTACAGTATTCAAGATGAGATTGTCTAAACAACATGTACATCATTTCTAAAGTTTATCCATGTTGTCCAGTACTTGAACTACTAAATTACATGACAAATCTAATCTTAAGCCCATGACTACCTCTCTATATATATGTTAACAAACTGAATTCAACAATACAAAAAAAAAAAAAATACATTGTAAGGATTGTTCATCATGACCAAGTGGATTTTTTCCAAGAATACAGGGATGATTCAACATCCACAAACCAATGTAATTCATCACATCAACAAAAGGAAAGAAAAAAAAAAAACAAAACATGATCCTATCACTAGATATAGAGAAAGCACTTGACAGATTAAAAATTCAACCCATCCATTTATGAAAAAAAATTCTTTAAAAATGGAGATAAAAGGAACATACCTAAACAATGAAGACCATATATAACAATCTATAACTAACATCATACTAAATGGAATAAAAAACTGAAAGCTTTTTCTCCAAGATCGGGTACAAGAAAAGGATGTTCACTTTCATTACTACTATTCAACATAGTGTTAGGAGTCCTGACTAGAACAGTTAGGCAAGAGAAATATATATAAGGTGTCCAAACAGGGAAAGAGGTTAGACTGGAATGATTTTCAGATAACAGGATAATATACACAGAAAATCCTGAAGATGCCACCAAAAATCTATTTGAAACAATCAGCACAGTGAAGTGGCAGGCTACAAAACCAATATGCAAAAATCTCTTGTGTTTCTGTATACAACAAACTAAATGAGAAAAATCAAGAAAATAATTCCATTTACAATCACATCAAAAAAATTAAATACCTAGGAATAAACTTACAAAGGGAGGGGAAAGACCTGTACAATGCAAGCTGCAAGACATTATTAAAAGAAATAGAAGACATAAAGAAATGGAAAGATATTCCTTGCTCATGTATTGGAAGAATAAGCATTATGAAAATGACCATCTTCCCCGAAGCAATATAAGATTCAATGCAATCCCTTTCAAAGTTTCAAAAGCAAACATTACTGAAATTTAAATGGAACCACAAAAGATCCTGAATAGCCAAAGCAATCCTGACAAGAAAGAACAGGTATCACACTCCCAGACTTCAAGCTGTACTATAAAGCTATTGAAATCAAAACAATATGTTGTTGGCATAAAAATAGAAACACCAACCAACAAAATAGAATTGAGATCCCAGAAATAAACCCAGACTTGAATGGACAGTTAATTTATAACACAGCGGCCAAGAGTATACAATCAATGTCTCCAAATGATTTTGGGAAGACAACAACTATATGCAAAAAAAAGAAGCAGCTAAACCGCTTTCTCACACCATACCCAAAAACTGACTCAAAATGCATTAAAGACGTGGATATAAGACCTAAGCCACAAAATACATAGAAAACATAGGCAAAACACTCTACAATACTGATTTCAGAGATGCCTTTGGAGACTCCAACAGCACGGGAGACAAAAGCAAACAAACAAATGGGATATAAGCTAAAAAGATTTTGCACAGTGAGAGAAACTCTCCGTGAAATGAAAAGACACCCTGCAAGATAAAATATTTGTATGTCATACATCTAACAAGGAGCTAATATACAAGATCTACAAAAAACTCATACAACTCAACAAAAAGAAAATATCCTAACTTAAAAATCAGAAGAGCTGACAGACACTTCTCCAAAGAATACATATAAATGGCCAATAAGCACATGAAGAATGCTCTTCACTTGCCATCAGGGAAATGCAAATCAAAACCACAGTGAGAATGGCCCAGATTAAAAAGACCAGAAACAAGTGTTGGCGAGGGTGTGGAAAAAAATGAAACTTCTTACACTGTTGATGGGAATGTAAATTGATCTAACCCTATGGAAAATAGTAAGGAGGTTTCTCAAAATATTAAAAATAGATCCATAAGATCCAGCAATTCCACTCCTAGTTATCTGCTCAAAGTACAAAAACATTTCTTAAAGATGTATCTGTACTCTCTGTTCACTGTAACACTATTTACAATAGCCTAGTTGCGGAAATTACCTAAGTGCCCAATGACAGATGAGGGGCTTTAAGAAGATGCGGCACATGTATGCAGTGGAATACTCAGCTGTAGAAAAAAATGAAATCTTGCCATTTGTGACAACATGGATGTAAGTGGAGGGATGATGCTAAGCAAAATAAATGAGACGGCGGCAGATAACGCATGCTTTCATTCATGGGGTTAAAGAAACAGACCAAACCAAACCAAAACCCTAGAAATCCAGCTGTAGAATGGAGGCTACCAAAAGGGTGGCAGGACAGTCAGGGATGGGGGAGCAGAGATGGGGGAGTCAGCAAACCCCCAAGAGTAGATCAGTGTCCCAAGACTCAGAGAGTTTGGCAAACAGTTGGACACAATACTTTACCTTAGTCGTTAGCTAGCGCCGTCACTGTGTGGAACATTAACGTTTTTAATGTTCCAGGTCTTGGCACCCCAGTAGTTTAGTGGCAGTTGAGCAAAGCATTCAGAGCTGTCACTAAAGGAGGAAAGAAAAGGCACTCTGCAGACCACTGTCGTCATGGTGTTGCTTTTTTTATTGCATCTCACGATGTTCCAAACTTGTGCTCTTCTCTATGTGAAGCAGTAGAGAACTTTCCAGCCTTTTATTATGAAAACAGTGTTTCTTTTCTCAGGTGATTATAGAGGTCTCCAGTTCTGGGTAGACAGTATCCAAATACCACTGAAATGATTTGCAACCCAGTCGTTTCCTTAATTCCACACGCTCGCTGATGTTTCCATAGTCGGCCTCTTTTAGGTGAGGTTTCCGTCTGAAAAACTGCTCCTACGTGGAGATTTAAGAGTCAGTCCCCTGAATGAACACTTGTTTGGAGATCAAACCCTGTCGAACATAGCAGTACATATTTTCACCACCTGAACTAAACCCCCTTCCAATCTCATCAGCATGGGGGGTGCAGAAGCACACATAAGACCGGGGCAGACTCAGCCCGCGTGTGCGCAGCGTGAGGCGGGAGAGGCTGCGGCCCAGGTGGCACTGAGGGTCCAGGCTGGGTCTGGGAGCACGGGAATCACAGCCACCTGCTCTGCCTCACATCCTGTCCCTTCTCTCTCAAGGACGCTTTAGCGCAAAGCCCCTCACTCCCTCAATCAACAGTCTCTCAGTCAGCAGTCTTATCATTCCAGAGATGGGAGGGGATGGTGGGTCAGGGCAGATGGGCTCTGGTGGAAGAGAGTCTGGGTTCAAATTCTGCTTTTCCATTTATTAACCTGTGACCTCGGCTTCTGCCCTCATGAGGTGGTCGTGCGACTTTAGTACCTGCCAAGCCCTTGGGAGAAGAAGGCTGCCACCTGAGAAGTTATTTTCATACACCTGGCTAGTCTTTGATGACCTCTGATTTAAGGAAACCCCAAGAAGTACTGTCTAATGGACTCAGCCTGTGGCATATGAAAGAGGTATTCTCAGTAAGCCAAAGTCACGAGTACTGTTCCCAGTCCTCGACTTGGAGAGTGGGCGTATTGTTGAATGAGAGGGGTTTGCTTATCCCAGTGAGCAGACACTGGGCACACCACATGGGCTGCTCCCCAGGGATCCTCGGCCTCTGTAGGTTTTTGCCAGTAATTCCTGCCACTTTTATTTCCCTTCCCCAGGGTCTCTTGGTGCAGAGGATGGGCCTGAGGGTATAGAGGATCATCATTCTGTAATGAGGCGAGCAGCCCTCTCGTCCAACGTCGCTAAATAAATTTCCCAATATGCTGTGTCATCCAATTCATTGATTTCTTTCTTTCTTTCTTTTTTTCTGCCAAACACTATAGGCTTTTTAAGTTAGATGAAAATTTTGGTCACTATATCTTCTGTGAAATGAAGTAAACCTCTCAGAATTAGCTGTTCAAATAATTCATAATTAAATGCAATTTTAAACAATCACATCAGATTAGAAGAACTATAAAGTCTAATTAAAACCAGTTGTAAAGTTGCAGGGAGACAGGCATCTTCACATAACACATGACAACGGTGCAGGAGGCGGTGTGGATGGGGCAGGACAGCTTGGAGATAATTCCTGGGATTCAAAATGCACCAGCTCATGGTGCAGCAAGTCCATATCTTGAGATTTGTTCTACAGATATATTTGCACAAATGCACAAAAAGTTAGGTGTAAAGGATGTTCGTGTCAGAATTGTCAATAAGGTCCAAATGGGACCAATTTTAGTAGATACACTCAAATTTCCCACTTTCCTTGAGTTGCCAAGCAGTTTTCCAAAGGGACATTTGTAATATTTAACACTCTCACCAGTGATGTCTGAGAATTTCTGTTGCTTGGCAACACATGGTCCTATCAGACATTAAAAATGCTCGCCAGTCTAGGTGGCTATGTAGAAATACCTCATTGAGGTTTCAGCTCTCATGGACCTGATGACTAGGGAACTTGAGTGTTATTATTTTATGCTTTGAAAATAATAAAAACTAGATCAAGGCTAGGACACACAATATCGCAGAGAGATTCTTGCCCGATTCTATCAGATATATTCGTGAATGGTCACAGAGTTAATCCTGCACATTCATGTTTCTGAAGTGAGGTCTTACCACAGTCACTGTCCACGTGGGACAGTTCGTGCGTGCATTCTAGATGGGCTACTTCCAAGTAAACTACGTGCTCTCTGGGTGTCTCGGACCCTTTCAAGAACTGGCAAGGGGCTTAAACCTTGGGGAGATGCAGAATGAAGGTGCATGGCTTTGACGGAGAAATGCTTGGTCATGGGTAGAAAACAAGTGGCAGAGCTTCTTGTGTGTTCCCCACACCCGCAGCAGCCACATCACCTGGGGGCTTGGCAGTCGAGGAAGAGAACTAGTGAGTGGCAGGTACGGCTCGGGGCGGGGGTCCGGCTCAGAGGGACAGCCTTCAAAGGGAAAACAGATGGGGGGCGGGGCAGGAAGGACTTCTTGTGTTGGTTGAGATACTTCTCAGCTTGATTTTCTCTGGGAATTACAAAGTAAGGTGCGTAGCAGCTTAGAACTAACTGAGGACAGGGTCTGGGGAAAGGCAGATGAGTAGGTAAAGGGATGCCACTAAGTTAAGGGAAACGCTGAAAGGAACGAAAATTGGTATCTGGAAAGGCAGGTGGAGGCTTCTTTAGAGCAAACCCACTTCTACACTTGAACTCATCTCCCCAAATCAGAGGCGTATCCTTCACCTTGTATTCATCCAACCAGACGTGCGCCAGCCTGAGGCTGTTGCGGTTTATGGCCTGTGTGATGTCAGGGGAGTACGACTTGGGGTGCTTGTCAATGTGGCCCACTCGCGAGCAGGGCAGTATGTAGAGCTGACCCCCACACATCCAGATCTGTGGAGAAAGGAAAACAGTAATGATCTTTGCTAGTAATAGGTCACTCTGAGATCGTTTTTGACCAATAATAGCTAACCGTCATTGTTTCTTATCTCATTGAATCTGGCTACCCATTCACAAGGTAAAGGAGCCTGGGCTAGCTTGCTGAGGACGAGAGACAGGTGGCCAAGTCCTCCCTGCTCTCCCAACTGCCGCAGGCCCATGTGGGCAGGTAAATCAGTCCAGCCTAGACCAGCACCAGCTGAGTCTCCAGAGGAAAACATGTGTAAGCAACACAATAAAACCAGCCATCCTAGCCAGGCCAGAGACTCGCTTTAGCAACACAGCGAGTTAGGAGGACGTTTGATCAGGAGCCACTGTGTTCCGGGAGAGCTTGTTACACAACCTACCAGATATGCGAGGGGCCAGTGTTTCTCAAGTAAACAAGACCTCTGTCCTCGCAGCTGCTCCGTGCAGGAACTCAGTGTGATAGGCTGAGGTGCTGATCATCAAATATTAGCTCACCCCATCCCTCACCTTGGGGCAGAGTCTATTTCTTTGACACTCTGACTTGGGACTTGTCCATTCAGCGTCTTTGGATGATGGAATGTGGGCAGCACATGTGTGACAGGATTCTCGGCCACAGGGCTGGGCCTGACACCGCGCTCTTGCCGTCCAGACTATGCTGAGCTGCGGCAACTCCTGGGATGACGAGCAAACTTGGAGACCAGAGCTCAGCCTAGCCGATCAGACCCAACGCACAGGCCTCCTCCAGGCCACACCTACTGTTCCGAGCTACTCTGCTTTGAGCTGCAGACAGCATCTGTGTGGCATTCACTGCCTGGCCCCCATGTGGCCTGGAACACCCCTTAGTCTCAGGATCCACCATTCTGACCGGCCTTCGTTGTGCTTGTGTACCACGATGGGGATTTGTCCAGCTCTCTCCATCCGCCCTGGCCCCTGCCTAGTTTCATCTGCTGTCATCCCTTGTCCAGGTCATTGCAAGAAACTCCGCTCTCCCTGCTTGTCTTTCACTTTGTTAATTTCTGCAGCCTCTGTGTCTGCCCCACTTAAGGCACGTCTGTGCGTTCCCCTGGCACCTAACGTACAATCTGAACCCTCCGGGGCCTGCTCGTTTCTGCCCCGCCTCCCGCCTGCCTTGCTCTGCCACCCTCTCCTCACCCACCGGGGTCCGGCCTCCCTGGCCCGCTCACCGCGGAGGTCAGTGTGCGGAAGCGGCGGCCTCTCCCACTCTTTTCCTGTGGTCTGTATTTACCAGGTGAAGTGGGGCTACGTCCCGTGGCCAGCTGGGGTGGGATTTTCTCAGTCTGCTCTACTGGTCTAACAGTTGTTTGTTGTTTTTTCCAAAACCAAACCAATCGTTTTATTGTGCAGTTTCCTTCAACCAGACAATTACTTAAACGTCAATATAAAAAAATCTCTGGAAAATAGTCTGTTTTCTTCTTCCTCCCCTGAACTGGGGCGAATAGCTTTGCCCTTCCCAAGCCGGTGGGTTCCACGACGCCTGTCTTGCATCACCCGCGCTTACGACACGGACGCGCTTCTCTCAGGGACGTGCCCTCTCCGGCCGGGTTCTGGCAGCTCACCAGTGATCTATCAGGGTAATCTGCTCAATACAGAGACAGTGGGATTGGGGGGTAGCAGTTATCAGGGGAGAAAAGACTGGGGCCCCAAACAAGACAGGTCCTTACGAGGACAAGGTCACCCCAAGGCCAGGCTTCCGCAGAAGCTGGGCTGGGACAAGGGCCCTGTGGGGTGGGGCTCTCTGCAGTCACGGGCAGGTCGGGCTGCTGAGCTGGACACAGGAAATGGTGCCCTGCGGACAGAGACTTGGGCTGAGGCTCTCAGCAGGATTAGACGTCCTTGTCCTCATTTGGGTGGCACTTAGACCCCAGCGCCAGGCAACATCTGCAGCATCTGTGCAGGGTAGGTAAAGGCATCAGGCTTTCCTGCCCTCCCGCCATCAGGATGGATGATGGATCCTTGCGGTCCTGAACGCATGCCTGATGGCGGCACCTGGAGCAGGGTGTGGGCCTAGGGAGATGGGATTCCCCTGGGCTGAGACTGGGCTTTTAAGGGCGGCGTCACGGGGACGCCGCCAGAAGCCAAAAAAGAAGCTGAGAAGAAGCAGAACGAACGGAAGAGCAGAGAAGCAAAGAGAAGGCCGGAGAGCCCAGATAGAGTGAAGACTTGCTGGGGGCTGGGGGGACTGCCAGCCTCCTGGCCCCCCAGCACCCCTGGCTGCCGTGTGCCTGGTAATCTAAATAAAAAGCCTGCAAAACCCACCGGGGGCTCCAGGACTGTCTCCTCCTTTACCCCGTCTGCTGGGATCCCAGAAAACCTGCACTTTGGTCTTCCTGCCCCTACAATTGGCGTAAGTCGGCAGGATGATCCATGCAGACGGGCATGGAGCCCTCCGAAGACCTGGAGGGACTGAGGAGTAACAGACTGTGTTTGCCTGTGACGACGCTGGAGGCGCCATGGCGGCACAGGAGATGGACAAGGCCCAGGAGCTGCGGGACGAGACCTCGCGTGGAGGAGACGCCCGAGAGGACCAGCCAACGACCCCCGAGGCGGCAAGAATCTTCAGAGAAGAGAGGACCACGGTTTGGAGCTCGCCAGTGCTGACGCAGGGAGAGGCCTAAAGGACTTGGACTGACGAACTTGGACTGACAATCCCGCCAGAAGGCAGAGGAACCTTGGCAGGTTAAGTTTTGGGGACCCTGGGGGAGGATGCTATTGTTTGTGCACCCCAGGAGATGGGAATCTGGGGTGGCCAGTGGGCCTTGATGGCCAAAAGCAGCCTGTGTATGCCCAGCAGCCAGGCGGAGGAGAAAAGCCAAGTGAGAAGGCAAAAGCTGGAGCTGATGCTGAGTTTGGGAAGCCTGAGCGGCTGTTAAGCACTAAATAAGCTGAGGAAGGCCCGTGAGTCTCGTAAAATCACCTGTGGGGGATGCTCTGCTCGATGTCGAGGGAGGGTGAGGAGCTGAGGAACCCTTCCTTGGGGGACGGGTGGGGAACGTGGCTTGGGGTGGAGCCCCAGCCAAATGTAGAGTTTGGATCCCCGACCCATGTGCTTGTGCAGTGGGTTGGCCTGAGTGCAGGGGCCTGCGAGTCGCATGGGTGGCTATGAAAGCCGAGTGTTGGAGCGACTGCAGACAGAAACCCTGAGGGTTGGCGATTACCCCCAAAGAGTAGAGAATCCTCAATCCAGGAGTGAGTGCATCCTGGGGGTGGATGCTGCGTGTGGCTTGTAGCCGAGACTACAGCCAGAGAAGGCCGGGAAGCCTGACGGCTCCTGGCATGTGACAGAGATGTCTGAGTGGTTCCCCTCCCTCGTATGAGCAGTGCCTTGGGCAGCAGATGTGGTGGCTCATCTGCCGGTACCAATAATTGTCTTTTGCCACTAGGTTGGGGCCCTGCCTGGACTTATTTGTGTTCTGTTGTATTTTGTTACATTGTGATGTATTTCATTTACTTTCGTGGGCCATGGCTGCGGTGTTCATATTGCCAAGAGACATGTGTTTATGACTTGTATATAGAGACTGATAAAGACGATATGGCAGAAAACCCTGAGGGGGTGGACTGTAGGGTAAGGAAAAATGTCAGGCTTTCTGCCCTCCCGCCATCAGGATGGATGATGGATCCTTGTCCTGAACGCATGCCTGATGGCGGCACCTGGAATAGGGTGTGGGCCTAGGGAGATGGGATTCACCTGGGCTGAGACTGGGCTTTTAAGGGCGGCGTCACGGGGACACCAGTAGAGGCCGAAAAAGAAGCTGAGAAGAAGCAGAATGAACGGAAGAGCAGAGAAGCAAAGAGACGGCCGGAGAGCCCAGATAGAGTGAGGATGTGCTGGGGGCTGGGGGGACTGCCAGCCTCCTGGCCCCCCAGCGCCCCTGCCTGCCGTGTGCCTGGTAAATCTAAAAAGCCTGCAAAACCCACCAAGGACGCTCTAGGACTCCTCCTTTACCTGGCCTGCTGGATCAGAAAACCTGCCCTGTGTCCTTCCTGCCCCTTACAGGGGCGTTACAATCTGGGACCAGATTTCAACCTCAGGAGTCCTCCTGCCCCCCACCCCTGAGGTAGCAGCCCACCCCCGCTGCAGAGATAGCTAGAGACCACAGAGGGGGCCCACGGCTCCTCATTCACTATCAGACACAGCCACGGAGGTCTGGGGTCACCCTGGTAACCCCCCCAGGGAGATGCGGCCAGATCCCTTTGCTGGTTGTCAGTCTGAGGCAGGTCTGCGTGGGGGCTGGGTGCGGAGTGCAGAGCAGGGTCGTGAGCCGGCCCAGGCCTGCCGCAGCTGCGTCTCTGTCTACGGCATGAGCGGCCCGCGGGCAGGGCAGGTTGGGTGCTCTGCAAATCTGCCATCAGAGAAACAAGCTGGGCTTCGCGCTCAGGAAGCCCCCGCGATACCAGGCTCCTCCCAGCTTGGGCCTTGTGGGGAAGAAAGGCAAGGTTCGCAGCAGGCCTTGCTTTTAGGCTGATGAACCAGGAGAGGAGAAAGGGGGGACGGCAGGGCTGCAGAAGCAAGAGAGCCTGGTGACCCCTGCCACCTGGTCCCGCGGAGGTGGCACGGAAAAGCTCCCCCGCGGCCCGCGGCTGTTGGAGGCAGCAGAGGTGGTGGGCAGGGCCCCAGAGGCCCCAGGCCTACAGCTCAGGTAGGAAGGGCTCTCCTCGAGACAGGGCCGTCACAGCTGGCAGGGGGGTCGGGAGGGGAGCACACTGGGGCAATGAGATCGGCGTGTCCCAGGTACAAGCTGGCCGGCAGTTGTGAGGTCCAGTGGGGTCCCATCTTTTCCAGCCCCAGTAGCTATCTTAGCAGAAAACTAGGGGAGGCTGCTTGCCAGACACCGTCCTCCACCAGAGCTCAGAGGAAGGGGGCGAACACCTCACTGAGGCCGCGGCAGCCCCCGGCGCTGTGCTATGCCCATTACGGCGGCGATAGTCACGCCAACGCGGCCGGTGCCAGCCTCCCCCTCAGGTACCCGACCCCAAGCTTCACCCACTCCACAAAGATTTCGTGACTGGGTTCCACATGGGACAAGGCCAGGCGTGGGGGAGACAGTGTGGGATGTCAGTCCTGTCCCTGCCCTTGCGGAGCTGGTAGCAGGGGGATGCACAGTGGGTGGGGGACGCAAAAGCCAGTCTCTGCCTCAAATCTATTTAAAATCAAGATGGCAACAGCAGAGCATTGAAACAAGGGTAGGGGCCAGCCCGGGCCATGTAGCCTGCCCTGCACACACAGACAAGAGACACGGCTCACCGGGCCAACACTCACAGGAGAAGGGACCTCAGGCGTGTGCGCACGCTCGCGTGTATGTGCATGTGTGGGAGGGGGGTTGTGGGTGTGTGCAGGGAGCGTGAGGATGAGGTCCAGAGAGTCTTGCTGAAGAAATGGCATCAAATCTGTCATGATGGACTGTGGTAGTGAGGAAAGAGGGACGTGAAAGAGACGGTGATGATTCAGCAGAACTGACCAGATAGGGTGAGGTGAACTGGAGGGCGTGAGAAGGACAGTGGAGTCCAGGGGCAGGGGTGGCGGGGGGGGGGGCACTCACCCACCCATAGAGGGGGCATGGCTGAGGGAGGAGTGGGGGAGGGGGCAGGGAGGAAAGAGTCGGCTTTTGCATGTCCGGCTTAGCGCGCTGTGGTGCATTCAGATGAGGGCAAACTGTCCATGGATGGACACAAAGGCTGTGACTCAGGAGAAGGAACAGCGGAGGAACAAAAGCAAGAACTGGCGTAGCATGTAAAGCAGTTAGCGCAGTGTGGGGTGGGTAGAGAGAGGGGGGAGAGTTTGGGGGCCTCGGGGAAGCCCCTTAGGAAAGTAAACTTCTGAGCAGACAGGCCAAGAAAGCGAGCCAGTGTTTGAATGCAACACACTGGGGTCAAAACAAAACATGCAGTAAGAAGAGCTGATATTTTATTGAGTATTTTCCATCTTCGCAAGGAGCCGCGTCAATCGTGTGGCGCATATACCACCAGGAATGTGCTAGATGCTGACGTAGGAAAAACGAGCACAAGAGCCACAGCAGGAAGCATGGCTTAAAGCTAGAGTTCACGCTCCACCCGCAAAGGCAACTACTTTGAAAAGGTTGACTTACCCTTAGTGAAAGCTCCACGTTTTCCCCTCCCCAGAGGTTCATGTCTTTGTCGTACTGTCCGAGCTCCTTAAAGTAATGCCTGTACACAGCAAAAATGCCTCCAGCCATGGCGGGAGACCTAAGAGGACATGGAAATACCAACTTGATTTCATGGGTTCAGTCATGATGGATGCTTGCCAAAATTATATTAAAAACGAGTGATATGGATAGTTAAAAACTGAAAAACCGTCATTCACACCAAAATTATTACCTATCCAACTTTTAAGTATGTGGAATTGCTAAATTAAAACCGTAGTTACTTAAAACCAGGCAGTAACTCTTGCCTAATGGCACCAGATGCCGTAAGCAATACACTCTAAGTGCTGCCTTGGAGGAAAGGAAAATTGTCTTAAAAAAGAAAAAAGTTTCTTAGCAAATTTAATGTTTTTTTAAAAAGATGTATTTATTCATGCACACAAGAACTGGGGTACAGGCCAGAGGTGTGGAGGGTGAGAGGATCCACCAGAGACAGAGTCTGCTGCCCGGCGCGGCGCCGGCTGCGGGCTGGGGCGACCCCACGGACCTGGCCATGGTCACGCGGCCCTCGCCTGGAGGGAGGCCGCGCCCCGCAGGGCCTCCCCCGGGCCCGCCGCCCCCCCCCCACCCCCGGCCGCTTGTCAAATTGACAAATGAAGTAATTTCACAAAACAGCCTGCGAAGGCCGCGGTGGGCATCGCTGAAAGTCGGGTGACAATATATATGACTCAGAATTCAGGCCACGCCTTCCCCGCAAGAGAAAGGCTTTATTCTAAAACCCCGGGAATCACTAGCAAGCATGCATGCGTGCGCGCGCGCGCGTGTGTGTGTGTGTGTGTGTGTGTGTGTGTGTGTAAGGCCGGGTGGCGGTGGTCACCTCGGCGGTGGTCTGAGCCTGCGGGGAGGCCGTGAAGAGGTGCGGGAGCAGCCAGGCTGAGCCCCCTGGCAGTGGCGATCCCTGCGGCCTCTCCACGAGTTACCACAGCTGTGTTTTCCTCACTTGCCCTAAGTTTTCCAAAACTCTTATATCTGTACTTTTATGGTCATTACACTTGTAACTTGAGGGGGAAGGAATCGTCAGATATGAATACAAGTTAATGGCATGGCTAATATCTAAATTTTAGCTTTTGTTAACCCTCTGAAGACAACCTATCTGGTCTTGCAGGTGCTGTTCCACCTTGTAACTGTGACATGTTAGGCTATAACGCAGCTGCCCCTCCGGGTTCAGGGCTGGAGATTTGTGTAATTCTGCCTACAGTGGAGGTGACCATTGACAGTACTGGCAGGAGGGGCAAATTTATAGATCATGAAGCCGAGGCTCAGAAAAAAGAAAACCATGTAGGGTACCAGCAGAAATTGAGGAGCTGGAGACTTGATTATGTCCCAGGGTAGGTGGGTGATGCCAGTTTAGAAGATGAAAGGTCCAAGAAATGACTACAGGAATCATAGTAACAGTTATAAAATGACGTTAATGTAGCGCTGGTGGACAGTGTTGTAATCTTGGAAATATACTAAGCTGTTCATGCTCATGACAACTCTGTGAAGTATTGTTATTCTCCAGACTTTACAGATAAAAAAATAAGCCCCAGAGAGGTCAAGCAATTTGAGCAACGTCACATAGCTCTGGCAAAATTAGGATGGAGACAAGATCAAAGACTTGCTAGGCTAACATGCTGGCAGAGGCACTCGTGTGGTTGGTGAACAGAGGTCAACAGAGAAAGAAAAGAGCCCTGGGGTCCCGGCTAACTGAATGTGGGGAGCAACCTGGGAAAGTCTCTCCAGAGACAGCCTCCTACAAATCCCAACATTCAAGCCATTCCTACAGTTTGAGATACATTTTCTGGACTAATAATCTTGGAAAACCACTTTTATCTCAGCCTGTAAAATTACAGATGGAAGCACTTGCGTAGACATTTCATACATGAGTCTGGCCATGGCCAGGCCTTCTGGGCTACGTACGTGCTGGCACCTCATGCACTGATCAACACACAGCTTGCCCTTGAGGGCAAAGTCCACATGCTGCCAGCAGCCACCTGGAGTCAGAGGGCCACTGACACGGTCATGCTCGCAACCGGGTGACATGCTCATTTTCAAGCGACAAAACCGCAGGCCTCCCCAATTCTATTATAATAGGCACTTAGGACCAAGAGACATATAAAGCACTCCTTCTCATTCAGCCCTAGCAATCGAAGGAATCATCTCCCTAATTTTTCTGCCAGGTCCCAATCCCAGACACTACGTGCCATGGCCGGAAGACATCTCACCGGATGGGAGCGGTAGGTCCTTCAGGCCCGTCCATCTCATAAGCGAAGACGTTATCCCACTTGAATTGGAGGTACCAGTTGAAAGCTCCCCTGACGACGGGAGAGGGCCTGTACTCCAGGGTGGTAAAGTCAATGACGTCAATCAAAGGGCACACCACCATCTTGGGGTCCTTGGCGATGGCATACAGCAGGGGCTGCAGCCAGACTCTGTTCACCTCACAGTGGCTGTCCAGGAACACCAGGACGTCCCCTGGGGAGGCAAGGGCGGGCGTTAGTTCGCTGGCTGACACGCCTGCCACCCCAAACCAAGGCTCGACGCGATGAGTCTTTGTTAAACACTTAGTGTGTGTTTGGTCCTCAGGGTGCTTTCAGTTTCACCGGGTGGATGGTGGGAGGGAAACCAGCACACACTTAATTCTGCACCCAAAATGTGGGTTGTGCTCCCGGCACAAACGTCTCTCTCCTCAGATCTTGCCACCCGCCGAGCGCTCTCCCCTTCCCGCCTTTGTGCCACCCCTGCTTCCAGTTCTCCCCGGTGGACTTTGCCCCTGGCGTCCGTCGGCTCTGGGGCCAGCGCCTCTGTCCCCGCGCCTGCATGTTAGGGGCATCTCATAGCCACACAGGCACCTTGGCAGTGGCAGTAAACGTCATGGAGAGAGTCCAGACTCAGATGACAGGAGGGGTGCAGCGCACTCCCTTATGTCTGGAGGCTTCTAAGGGCGTCTCTGATAAAGTGACGTTTATGGTGACATTTGATCAGAGAACGGAGCCACGCGGGTGACAGGCGACGCAGGCCCGCCAGGAGGGGAGCTTGCTTCTGAGCGCCACGGCGGGAGAGTGCCTGAGATGGCCAGGGCCAGGCAGCGGGCTGCGTGGCGCCGCAAAGGCAGGGGTCTTTGGGCAAAAGCTCAGTGGGTTTGTTGGGTTTTGGGGGTTTTTTGAGTAATAGTGGAAAATAAAAATTGCCAATTGAGAAATGACTAAACAGATGATGTGCCCTACGAGCCACGGGAACACTGTACTCAGCAGCCACTAAACATGGAGGTGAATTGGGTCAAAGCATTGACATAAAGGGTCGGTCTCACCAGGCAGTGTAGATGGGGCGATTCCACATGTTTAAAAATCCCTCAGGTGTGTGTGTGTGCACAGTCACGCGTGTACACACGCATGCACGTGGCGGTATATAAAACAAAGAGGCGCACACCCAGCGGGTAGCAGCCCGTGTGGCGTTCCCGACAGTGAACACGCTCCACCTGCGTTAAACAGGAGCCTGTCACGTCTGCTCAGGCCAGCGCGGCAGCCTCGCAGGGCCGAAAACACGGACACCCTGTCTCTGCCAGGGGAGACGCAGGGGGTGCCCCGGGAGGCATTTCGTGTGGGCAAGAAAGTCCCAGACCCAGACCTGGGGTCACGGCCCGCCTGGAATGTTCTTACCTAAAGCAAAAGATGCGCCGATCAGCCTGGAGCGGATCAGCCCTTCTCTCTTCTTGTTTCTTATCAGTTTAATCTTTCCCCGAAAAATTTCCAAGCGGTAGTCTAGCTTGTCTTTCAAGTCATCTGCAAAAATACCCAACACCTGACAGTCAGTGGTAACTACAGGAACAAAAATGGTGGCTCATGCGACTGATCCCTGACCACGCTAACCCGCGGGAGTTCTAGCCAGAAGAGAAAGACGTGTCCTGTATGCGGCAGGGAGAGAAGTGACTCAGCATCAAGACAAGCCGCTCGTCTGCGTCCCCCCGGGGCGGCTCTGTTCGCTCCAGCCCTGCGTGTGTCCTCATCGCAGGAGCCTTGGTGCCGTGGCAGTCTGACCCAGCGGCCCTGCGGTCTGCGCCCGAGGCTAGGTGGCTGACGGCTTTCAGACTTTAAAGGGCACAAAAGTAAAAACCGAAACTCATCTGACTTTGTCTGACGCTATATTCGCAGACCTAATGGCAATGACCTTGAACTGAGCTCCAGGGCCAGCTGGAAACTGAGAACACAGAGTAAAAAGGGGCTACCCAGAGGGGGCACCTTGAAAACACTGAATCCTGGCCCTGGACGCCTGTTACAAACAAGTCTCTTCTCGTTGGCTTGGGAGGAGGGGAACCTGCACCTCGTGGGCTGCTCCGCGGGTCAGGAATCTGCCCATCTCTCCGCGTGCCCAGAACGAGCAGGGCAGCCCCGCACCCCTCTGATGGGGTGGCTCCCGGGGAAAGCGGCCTGGTGACTGGACACCCTCTGGAGCACCCAGATGTGGCTGGCAGGAGGCTGAGTCGCATCCCACCATGGGTGACACCCCTGGAGTCACCCCCCCCCCGGGGACCTCCTGGAGTGTCGCCCTTCCCTGGCTGTGAAGACCTTACACTAACCCGGTTCTCTGGCGTGCCTCAGGGCTGCAATTAGGTTGTAAAATAGACAATTTATTTCAAATGCTACGTGCGGCTCATCAGATTTGCACCAGTGTGCAAGTCCCTGCGAGCACCAGCGTGGAGGACAAACTCGGAGCTCCGCTGTCTACGATTCGAATGGAAAGGGGATGTGTAAAGGGGGACGGGGTCGCCCCTGCCTTCAGCTGGGTAACAGCTCCCCAGTTCCCCCAGATAAAATGCAAACCTTGCCCTTCACGTGGTCTTTTCCTATTTATTTCTTGTCTCCTCCCCCGGCCCCCCCAACTCAGACGTGAGCTATGTAAGATGCATTCAGCGCGGCTCCAGTCTTGCCAAGCTTCCTCTAGCCTCTGGGCCTTCGGGCGCTGTGTCTGCTGCTGAAAACAACTTTCCCTTCCTTCCCACCAAGGCAACTCTGACACCCGCATCAGACCCCAGTGACTGTCACTTCTTCCTGACGCCATCAGTGCTCTCGAGTGGGTCCCTTCATGTCCCCCGACACCGCCCCATAGGAACCAGCTCTGACCTCCCCACCAGGAGGTCACCTGGCTACACACACACACACACACACACACCCCGCCCCAGACGTCCTTTGCGGGAAGGGACTCCCTCCGGGCGGCTCCGCCTTCCAAGGACATGGCGCGCATCTTTGGGGCTGTCTTACCAGATTCGCTCATGTCGTCTATCAAGATAATCTCCTCGAGGAGCTGCAGCGGGGTGTGCGTCATGACGCTCGACACCGTCCTGAACAAGGCATTAAACTCTTCGTTGTGGAAGCAGATGATGACGCTGGCCGTGGGCAGGTGGGTTGGGTAACGCTTATAGTGACACCTGCAGGCGAGAACAAGAGGGAGGCGGTGAGTCACCTAAGCAGGTGTTGGGGGCGCGGCGAACATCTTTCATCATTTGCGTTTCCCCTTCCTGGTTCCTTGTGGGTTCTTATGAGCTGAGCTCGCATGGGCCGCTGTGACCTGTGTGCTGTCTGCAAGGCATAGCGGAGCACGCCTTGACCCCTCTGGAGAAAGCCCGCATCCCAGGGCAGGCGGGGGCCCAGGCCGCTGCTCACGGGATCACCTCTCTCCAGGGTGGCCTCGGGGTAACCCTGCCGTGATAACATCAGGTACCTTGCTGACTCACGTCTCTTGACGTAGGGTGACAACATCCCTTTCTCTGTCCCTCATAAAACTGTCCCCTTGCCCCCCAGACCTTACTCCTCACGGCGCTGCGGCACGGCCAGCTTTCACCTGCCCGTGCACTGTCACGAGCGGCACAAGAACATCCGCTCCAGTAGCAGAGTCTCGCCTTGCGCACCTGCTCCATGCGCGACCCGGGAGTCCCCCTCGCGTCCCCGCCGCGGAGCGGCCGCAAAGTTCCTGTCGCAACAGTTCCTCTCATTGATGATTTGATAATCGGGTGACAGTACATTTAAAAACACGAGAATGGAGCTATGAGCATTTCTTTCACTTCTGCTGCTCTTCTAATCTTTCACACTCGCTTTCTCTACGCCAGTCATCATTGCTGCTTCCGCAGACAGTTTTCACAATCCAAGTTCATTTTGAGCATCATATAAACAAATTACTTTGGCATCCATAAAAGTGATTTAATAAACTTATTCACATTGAAGGTTCAAATTTATTGTATTGTGTTGACCTCAAAGAAAGTCTGTGCTTCATTCCTACGTCGGTACCGTCTGCAGAGGATGAGATGTCCTTGTATTTCTTCCAAGGATTTGACAAAAATATTTTACTGTTTTTTTCCTTTTTAAAATGTTCTTTATTAAATTTGAAATACATAATTATTCAACCATGTTTTAACTACACCCCCAAAGGAAGAGCGTATTACGGAATAGGATAGTGTTACCAAGGTCAGGAATGTAAGGGTGGCTCAGTGCAAGATATCAAGGAGGGACGTCGCGTGACCATGCTAATTCAGAGGTGAGAAATTGTTCGATAAAACTTAACAGTGATTTCTGATTAAAATAAATCCCAAATCAAGACGAACCGACTCCTCGTCGGCATAGCTTTGACTGGTTGATGCACACGAACCGGGTGGGATCGTGACCAGCAAAACATTCAAATAAGGCCACATCTGATGCATTAAAGGCAGAAGGAACAATTTCAGCAGCAATTTCGCTTTCCACCTTGTGCTTTTTTTGTGTGCTCCCAACTTTCCAGAATGAACACTTAAAAGAAATCTGCATGTTTATTAATTACAAGAGGATAAACAGTAAGTTTAGAGCACAGAAATCTGACAGCTGCTGTTTCAATGAATGGTCAAAAGTAACTTCACCAGTAATGGAACAAATAGACAATGCACCTCCTCATTCGATGCTGAGAAGGACATGGCATCACTTCTATGACATTCCTACCCCCAAAACGCATGATTAGAATGTGATGGCAACCAGACACCCAACACGGCGGAACACGGCACGAATGAGTGGGTAGACGTCATCATGTGGGTCCTGGTTTTGATGAAAAAAGCTCAGAATCAGTTTCAGAGGGGAGGAAAAGGGACAGGTGCACCAGATGGTCCTGGGGCCCTGGGGTGGCCCCTCCCAGAACCAGGACCCCAAACGTGAATTCTCCCTAGACTCAGGAGTGGTGGCGTGTTCATACAGATTTCCTGATTTTGTTCATTGTTCTGTTCTGAGGGTATGGACGATGCTAACATTCAGGGAAATCTGAGAAAAGGCTATACTTCTTTGAACTATTCCTGCGCCAATTTTGTAAGTCTGAAAAAATTTTAAATAGAGAAGTGAAGAAATAAATCAGAGACAGAGCAACATAGTCTTCTCGTCAGAGATGTGTATCAGCATTTCTTTTTAAAAAAAGATTGATTTATGCAAATAAGATCTAGGATGCAGGCCAGAGGTGCGGGGTGTGAGAGGATTCATGCAAGACAGTGGGGAGCAAAACAGCCAGATCTACTGAAATACACTGCTGAGGGGAGCAGCAGGGAGACTGGAGAGGTCCGCTGCACTGTGTGGGTCGCCTCCCTGGCTGGGGATCAAACTCGTGCTGCAGTTGCTGTGGATATAGCCTCACAGGGCTGACGCTCAATCCCTTGCACCACCAGGGAGTCCCAGTATCAGCATTTCTTTAGTGAAGATGATCCTGTGCACGTCAAAGCCAAAGTTGAAGGGAAATGTACTCAGTGGAATAACGCAATTGGCTAATGATGGTTGAAATTCTGTTTGGACCCAGATAGTTGTGCTTATTCCTAGCAGCTAGAATGGGTTTCAAACACAGACATGTACTTGGAGTGGAATTGAATTTCCTATCAGATGAACTGACATCTCGAATAGCACCCTGCCAGTTTGCTCCGTTCTCAGGATCGTCTCTCTAAACTTTATTTTTCTTAACGAATAATCATGTAATGTGGGAAGGGAAACCAAGTAGCTGTGTTGTTGGAACCCAGCCGCCTGAGTGGTGGGAGCCGGCGGGTGCAGAGTTGGCCTTTCATGCTGCTGCTCCACCGCAAGTCAGCTGTGGCAGTTGCTCCTCAGACACCTTTCATGTAACAGTGTACTTCCCGGATCATGGAATGGGCCAATCAGGTGCAAGCTATGAGCTGGTTGGTGCTAAATGGTCCAGTCAGCCACAGGATTGAAAAATGGTCCAATCAGACTTGCGGGTGGGGCACCCTGAAAAAGGGTATAAGCCCTGGTTGAAGGCAGCTGAGTTGGCAACCGCCTCTGAAGGAAGAGGAAAGAAGGGAAGACACTGTTCTTGGCCTCTGAAGAAAGAGGAAAAGAAGCATCCAGCAGCTGACCTCCAAGGAGGGAAGAGAAGCCGAAGGACTCTGTCAGAGACAGGGCCTGAGAGGAGCACCAAGGGCCCCGGCCTGGCGTCTCAAAGAGCTGTTTGTTGCTGGTGTCACCCAGCAACTCACAAGGAGCTGTGAACACTGGGTGTCCCTGACACCACCTCTGGGGGACCAGTGGTGACCATCACTACTGGCCAGTGCTGTCCGGCACTCCTGGTGACCGGTGGTGACCATCACTGACACTATCTGGGTGAGGCAGCAGCCACTTGTGGCCACAGTGAACTCTCTGTTTCCCGTTTGTAAAATAAAGCCCGTGGTGGTGGTTCCTGGAGCCTGAGGGCTCTTGCAGTTGTGCGCGCGGGTGAGACCCACAGACAGCGACCTGTCCTCTTATCGGGCACCGTCCTTTGCTAGGCTCTAGCCCGTAGGCTCCTGTTGTGTGGGTGCTGTCCTGCTCTAGCCCTTGGTTTTGGTTTTTGGCCTTTTGGGGCTTTTGGTGGCGCTCTGGTCTCAGAGCCGGGGCAGGTGGGCGGCCTCCATCCGGTCTCCTGCCTTGGTGCCCTTTTTTCCTGTCCACCTGTTTCAGATGTGTCATTTGAGAATGTGAGATTTAGGGGGGAAATGACAGCATGCAGAGAAATCCCTAATTTATAGGCCTCCAAAACGACATTTTGTGGTAGGTAAATAGTGAACTGCATAAAAAGTTGCTCTCCAAACTAAATTCACTCCCTATTCTATGGTTTGAGTGATTTAAATCCTTCCCCCCTTATTATGAGCCAGGTGGATATGTCACATCTCTCTATGCTCCACATCCTGTGACGTCAGCCCCCGAGACTTCTTAGATTTGTGACTTCACATTTGTGTCACACGCTAGATGCGCCAAGACAGTGTGTCCTCACTTCCTCCTGGTTCCTGCTACTCACTGTCTTTGTATTTGAAGATGCCTCATTTAGTTAAGGAGGGGGGTACCAGATGCCTCATTTAGTTAAGGGGGGGATACTGGAGATCACCAGGACCTACAAGATATTAAAAAACGCTCTAACACACATATGCTTACAACATGAGTGCGTCTGGGGACATTATATGTGAAATAAGCCCAACACAAAGCATCAAATAATGTGTGAGTCCACTTCTAGGAGGGACTTGGAGAAGTTGAAATTCATAATGACAGAACGTGGAATGGTGGGGCGCCAGGACAGGGAGGGGGGCTGGGGAGTTAGTGTTTAATGGTGGAAAGTTTCAGTTTGGGGTGATAAAAAGGTCCTGGAGATGGATGGAGGGGGTGCTGGTTGTGTAACAATGTGAAGGCACTTAATGGTACTGAATTAAAATTAGTTAAAAAATAGCTAAAATGGTAAATCCAATGTCATGTATCTTTAACCACAATTTCAAAAAAAGGCATTAATCATTAACACAGATGATTAATGAAACACTAGGGCAGGGGGAGAAGACTTTGAAGGAAAAATAGGTAGCAGTGCGAAGCATTTTGTATCATAAATAAACGCCCTTTGCTCGAAAGTCCTTATTGGTGATTTCACAAGATCTTGTGTTCTCGATTCTTGGAAACCGCCAGAACACGTTCTGTGCCAATGGGAAGATATTCTCTACATTGTTAGCTCTATAATATAGACATTACTGGACTTTAAATAGAAACCTGTGTTGTAAGATTTCTGATATCCCCAAAAAATTAAGATCTGCTTAGTTACTTGATTTAAAAAATTAGGCAGCACATACATTTTATTCCTGGTATCTGGTAGGTCTCTCTCGTTGCCCAGTTGTTTACTGATAAGGACATTAAATCCATATTTGATAAATCCTTTATATAATTCTGGGTCCGCATAGTTAGAACTGTGACCTGTAAGGAAGGTGTTAGAGTTACATAAGTACAGGCTCATTATCATTTTGATGCAGGACTCTAAGAACAACTGTACTTGAAACTCACCTTTTCCCAGAACCCCCAGGCACCAGCACAAGGCGCTGTGGGAGGGTCCCAGTGAGCTCTGTTTGGGGATTTTCTGACAAGGTTAAAATCAAAGTATTCACACAAATCACAGCAGACTTCTTAGAAGAAGAATCAGCCAGCTCGCCTTTAGTCATTCACCACTGTCGTGAACAAGGTGGTGTAGGAAGGGAGGGAGCAAGTTGGTGCCCCCTTCTCAAATTCCATTAGGAAGAATAAAACAAGAGGACAGAGAACAACCCGAACATACCATTCATAACAATAAGTGGAATTGGGATAAGTTTCCTATTAAAAGATTAAAACCCTTCAGTGGCAAAAAAAAAATTTAAAAAGTCATCATGAAAGAGAAACAGTGAACTAAAATGATTAAAAATGAAAGAATAGTCAGAGAACACAGGAGTTGTTTTAAAATACAGAAAATATTGTTTTAAAATATAGAATTCATTGGAAGGCGCATACAGAATTATTTTATACTCAGAAATTATAATAAGGAATTAATAGTAATGAACTGGTAGATTCAAATACAGCTGCAACAAAGCAAAGTAAAATTGCTAGAAATAGTAATAAATAGTGCCACCAGTGAACAGGAAGGGAATATTTTAAGGACAATGGAATCAAAGAATGAGTGAAAAAGAACTTGAAGAGTTCAGTTCCCTTATTGGATTTACATTATACTTTGACTTTGGGAGGAGACACTTACTTTCCGCTGCTCAATTTGAAATAAAAGGTTTCCTATAAAGGGGGTTTCTGTCAAGACGAAACAGCCTCATTTCCCCGGATTGTCTCTTAGGCCTACAGTTCCCTGGACGTGATGCCACAGGAAAGCAAAGGCGGAGACAAGGAGGCGGGCTGCCTGGGCCTGGGGACCGGAGGCCAGACTTGGCGAGCTCCTGGGCTTCCTCGCTGCTTCCCGTAACCCGTAAACACACAGGACTGTGGAGTCTTTGACGAGAAAACCAGTCAGCACAGACACGGCTCGGAGTCTTCTCCCCTAGCCACAGGCCAGAGAGAGGTCACAGAGACGGGTGGGGCTGACTAACCACGGATGGCTCTGTCCTAAATCACGTTGGGCGCCAAATCTGTAATAGGACAGGGAGAGGGGCAGCCCAAATCCCGCAAACCGGCCTATTCTAAATGGGTTCTGCCATCCGCCGCACCAACACAAAACATAGGAGACTTTAATGGGAAGGATCTTTAATAAAAACTAGGAAACAATACAGGTGAGGCAAAGAGTCTAGTTTCTAAATGAAGCACCCAAAGTTACCCGTCCCCTCGTGGGTAAAACTCCAACCATATGGGATCGGCCCAGAACAAGGCCCCAAAGCCTGCCCCAAGTCTAAAGCATCTTCCCGTGGGGACCCACAAAAAAGGGTCAGAAACAACCAGACAAGCCCGGAAGGAAAAGAGCAAAATCAACATCAAGATAAAAGCTGCCATTGTCACCTCCTCACAGGTCTCACCCACCACATCTGTGTCACCCCGTCCACGACCAAAAGACAAGCACAGTTTCTTCACGTGTCTCTAGGCTCCATGCGCCTCCTCCAGGGCTCCTGGCTCCATCCTGCTTCCTTCCTTCCTCAGTCTCTTCTGCAGCTTCTCTCTTCTCTTCCTGCTCAGCTCCACCCTCCCTTGGGTGGGGCAGGGAACCTCCCCCTTTCCTGGGGACCACCCTGTTACACCATCAAATAGCAGTAGGAGAACCCCACGGTCCCTGTGGTTTCAGGGGACCCTCCTCACCTGCAGGGAACAGAGGGCAGTGCTCTCTTTCCCCACCTGGTGTAGGGGGAGCAAAGCCTACTCCCCTTCCATCCTCTTCCTGGCAGGAGGGGATATAAAATCGCGGCTACTTTAGAAGATAGAGGTGGCATTTCCTTAAAAGTGAAACACAGACCTACTCCATACCTCGCCCATCCGCACGGAGGTTTTCACCTAAGAGAAACAAACTATATCCTTGCAAGAACGTACACATCCGTTCTCAGAGCAGGTGGCAATTCACTGCAGAATATCTGTAAATATATTAAATATATGCTTGGGGATCATAAGACGGGGGGAAGGCATACTGAGAGATACTCGCCAGCTCAGGTTAACCGTCTCGGAGGAGGAGGAGAGGGGCCCAAGTTTTATTGTACCTATTAAAAGGTACTTCTTTTGCTAAAAAACTAAATTCACAAATTTAGGCTTGTAATTGACTTTATCGACAGCGTCACAGCGCAGGCAGTATCCTGTCTAGATCCGCAAGGACTCCCGCAGAATGGCGGGTTTACAGACAAAAAGAGGGCGGGACAAGGTTATTAGGAAGGTTATTCCAGGTAAAGCCCTTCCCTCTGTGGGAGGCGGGGGTCTTACCATTCAGATGCCCCCACTGGCGCTGACTCGGAAACCCCCCAGGGGTTGGTTCAGGGTTGAATTTTGGGAGAGGTTAAAACGGCATCAGGTACAAGTTTTTTCGTGGGGACCCAGCAGGAAGGCTGCATGCTGGGCCTGTGTTTTCTATGTTTAACACTTTGAAAAATAAAAAGCAATCTGAAACAAGCATGGCAAGCTATATTTAAAATGGTTAAATTTAGGCAGTAAATACGTGCATACCTATTATTATCCATGTGACGTATTTCATAATCTAAAAATTGAGTTGTTCTAAAAAGGACGCGCTCTTACTTTTCCAAATGTTACATTTATGGTGCATCTTCCTCCAAGACGGCAAACAGAGGACCCGAGGTACTTACTTAAATTTAAATGTGGCTCTTCAGCTTCAGCTTCAATTTCTCTAGACCTTTCGACTCGCATATGCGGGTATGGTATTCGCTCTGCACCATAGATGGTTTCCTGCTGCAATTTCTTTCCAAGGGACCAAATTTCTGCCAGGCCCTGGTTTGTCTGCAACTGGTTGACCTCATGATTTTGGTAGAAATATGTAAGTAGCAGTGCTGTGCTGAGAGCTAATGATGCCAAGGATCCGTAGAACAAGTATAGGAGTACAGTGCGTCTCATTGTGCACTTAGCATTTTTGAAGGTCTGTTGTTCAATTTCCTGAATGAGAAGGATTTAAGAGAAGCTGTATCAGATAGTTCAGTGGTTCCTACATCATGGACTTTAAAAATTCAAACTTGGGTGATTTAAAACTATTTTGATACCTGTGTATCATATATCTTGACAGTGTTTCTTTTTATCTAGTAACAAAAACTCTTAACGTTGATTTTCAATCGGTCACTTAACATCAAAATGTATTACACTGTAATCATAAAACATGCAATGTCAGGGCCTCCCTGGTGGCTCAAGGGATTAAGCACCCGCACTGTGAGGCTATCCACAGCCTCTGCAGCATAAGTTCGCTCCCAGGCCAGCCAGGGAGGAACCCACATGGCACAGCAGACCTCTCCTGTCTGCCCGCTGCTCCCCTCAGCAGTATTTCAGTCAGTCTGCCTGTTCTGTTCCCCGCTCTGTCTCTGGTGGATCCTCTTATCCCCCACATCTCTGGCCTGTACCCCAGCTTTTGTATGCATAAATAAATCTTTAAAAAACAAAAACATGCAATGCCACTTAGTCACCGGCCCACACACCGGGAGACGCTGCTCTGGGAATGCTGTGGAAGGACATTTGTCCTTTCCCGGTGTTCAGTCCATCTTGGCGCGATAGTGCAGGTCTTTAAAAAGCCCACCCTGACAGCAATCAGGCTGTCAGAACTGTAGAAACGTATGTGTCAGGCTGTAGAAACGTGCAGTATCACAGCTGGAAGGAGCTGGGCCACGCGGCCTGCCACAGGGGCCGGGAGAGCAGCACACCACTGTGGCTCACCTGGTCTGGTTGCGTTTACCCGGCTGCTGAGGCTGCTCCACCCCCAGGAATATGCCCTGGGAAGACTCCTTTTCTGGCATTTGGTGAAGCAGCGTTGGGATAGACCTCGACACAGCTCGAGTTCCCTTTAGCAGGAATGCTGAGAAGTGGAGCGATTTCTGCACCCCTGGAAATGACTCAACTGCAGCTTCGTGTGTTAATATTGTAAAAGCTGCAGAATGTCATGTTGTTCGTAGTCGGCAAGGGGCCTCCATTGTCAGTTTAGGAGACGTGCAGCGCGTGCAGCTGTCAGGGACGAACCCGCACATCACAGATGTTGGGAGAGACGCATTTGAGACAGCGAGGGCTTGCAGGCGAGGGTGCTGGAGGGGAGGGTCCTCCTCTTCCAGAGGCAGAGGGACGTCACAGCTTCAGCACGAGCCTTGATTTGCTGCCGAGGACCGTGATAGCGGACGTTTCTACATTTTTGAAAGCCTGATTGGTGTCAGATTGGACTTTTTAAACAAAGTCATTGCATGGTACCGGAGGAATAATTCTTCCACACTCCTCCTGCAGCAGTGCTTCTTGGTCACTTTGCGTGTTTTATAAGCATGTAATACATTTTGATGCTAAGTGATCATTTGAAAATCAGTTAGAAAGTCAGTGAGCCTCGGGCACCCAGGCACTGGCTAGCGAGCACTCAGCAAGTTCCCTGTGACCTCACACAGTGACTTAGCTGGGCCTGGCTTGGGTTTCTCACGTGCTCACACACAGCCTTGACGCAGGTGTCCTTAACCCCTTCTTGCCCCCTGGCAGATTATAGAGGTGAAGTTTGTTCCTCGCAGGACCAGAACAGCAAGGTTGCAGAGAGCGGGCTCGCTTGCTGTGTTAGTTCTTACATTTTCTTGTTTGTAAATTTCCGTTTTAAATATTTCCTATCTAAAGCAAAAATACGTGTTCCTACTTTGACTCCCACTGTATTCTTAATGCTTATTTCTAAAAAAAAAAAAAAAAAGATTTATTTTTATACAAGAACTGGGTACAGGCCAGAGGTGCAGGAGGGTGAGAGGATTCACCAGAGACAGAGCGGGGAGCAGAACAGGTAGACGGACCGAAATCCACTGCTGAGGGGAGCAGCGGGGAGACAGGAGAGGTCTGCTGCACCATGTGGGTAGCTCCCTGGCCGGTCGGGAATTGAACCAGCGCTGTAGAGGCTGCGGACAGCTTCCCAGCATTGCACTCAACCCGCTGCCTCACCAGGGAGGCCCTTAATGCTTACTTCTAAAAAAATTCTGAAGCAAATAAGGTATAATCTATGAGGTTTGATAAAGCTTCAATGTGTCTACAGAGTGTTCAGATTTTTCTCATATTTTCCATTATATTTGAACTATTTCATAATTTATAAGCAAACAAAAAAAGAGCATCTTGCGAGGCTTCCTGTAAAGATGGCGCTTGAGTGTGTCTGTCTCCTTCCCGCCTGGCCCAGGTGTGAGGAAGAATAGAGCAAAAACCTCTCCTGGAAAGGAGTGTGGCGGGAAGACCACCACGCCACATGCGGTGCCAGCCTGGGGCAGGACACCAGCTCTGAGCATGTGGCAGTGACTGGGGGACACGGGCCCCCCATCCAAGTGCACAGCCAGGGAGCCTCAGTGGAGCCGGCCTCGCTGCCCCGGCACACGTGCGTAGAGAGCTGGCTCCCACGGGCGCCCCAGGGCCCCGGCTCCAGGAAGGCCAGCTGCTCCCGGACACAGCAGTAGCTCCCCTCGCCCTTCCGCAAGAGAGGTCACGCCGGCAGCCTGGCAGTCTCTCCTCTGGCAAAATGCAAGCAGAGAGGCACAGCCTCTGCAGATGGGCGCTGGGCGAAGTCTGGGGTCACCTGGAGAGGGAAGGCTGGACCCTCTTGGCATCTTTCCCGTCTCAGACACAGGGTCCCAGAAGCCAGCTTGTTCTATCTGAGGGAGGAGAAAGGAAGTTACTCTCTGGCGAAATGGCAGGCCCCAGAGTGATCGCCACACAGTGAAATGTGGGAGCCAAGCAAGCCAGCGAGCCCCACATGTCACGTGGGGTACACTCAAAGGCCACGCTGGACACAGCAGAAAGGCTGTCTTAAAAACCAAGTCTTGAGTCACCACACTTTAGGGGTGACACAGCTAACTTGACTGTGCACAATCGGTGCTTGTAACCCCTTGCTTCCCGGGGTGACCGGCTGCCCACCCGACACTGACCTTCTGACACCACAAAGAGCTGTTCTGTGATGTGTTTATATTTGAATAAGTGACACCATCCACTTAACATTCTAAGTGAATAAATCGTATAAAGTGAAGACACACAGAGGGGTAGACGAAGAAAACCGGCCCGGTGGAGGGATGTCCAGTCCACCTCCAGGGAAGGACGGCCCAGCCCGGCAGCCACAGCCCCTTTCAAACAATCAGATCCTCATTCTGGCCTTGGGGGCCAGCTCCCCCTGGAGACTCAGCGGCTTGCACTGACTTGAGGAGGGGTCCCCACACCTGTGTCCCCACCTGCCAGCTCCCCGGCCTGCCGCGCCCACCTACCCAGAGAGGACTGCACTGGGGCTGTGAGAGCTGCCGATTCCCAGCCGAGGGTCAGGCAGATTAGGCAGGGGCCCCTGTGGGATGTCCTGAGAGGGGCTTCTTCCTCGTGGTGGGCTTCCAGGGGCCTGATCCTGAGAGAGATCTGCTGGCTGCCCCGCGTGGCCCTGTTCAAAATGCACCCTCAGGCCGCCTCACAAAGCCTGTGACATCACCCAGGGTGTCACCACTCCGAGGCCAGCTGCCGGGAGGCCCCAAGCAGCTGGTGGGATGGGACTGCCAAGGTCAACTTGGCCTTCGAGAAAGCCCAGCATCCTCACTGCTCAGTTGAGCAAAGAAGTTAAGGCTTGGACCAGGCAAGTTGAAACCCCAACTTTCTCTGACATAGGCCTCATTTTTAGCACTTTTGAGATAAATTTACAAAAAGCAGCTTTCAGCTGCCTTTCAGTTTTCACTCTATGATATTAATCAGTATTTAGATATTACTAAATATTAGATATTTACTAATTACTAAATATTAGATGTTTAGATACGTGAGTTCAACCAAATGCTTGTGAAATTTGTTTTAAATATATTTGAGCATGGCCGGGGGGTTGGATGGCAGACCCTCTCGCAGGTCCCTGTTTTCAAAATTGATTTAAATTCATGAGCGATCACCATCCAGGGAACTTTGAGGGAGTCTGGAGGTGCTAGAGAAAGGGGATTCCTATAGCACCCCGGGGTTGGGGGGTAGGAGAGGCTCAACTCTCCAGCAGGGTAGAGATGTCCAGGCCCTGCTCACAACCCCATGAATGGACTTGGTGAAATGAGGCCAGGCCCCTGGAAGGTTAATCCCCAAAGTCCTCTTGCTAGATGTTAATTAGCAGCCTCTTGAGCATGCAGTCTGCCTTGTCCTTCATTGACAAAAACAAAATCAGAAGCTATTGCATCCGGGATGTCAAGAATGTCTGCGGACAAAGATGCTCCGAAGATGGGACTCCGGGGGTGCCGGGCCCGGCGGGCTGCTCACAGTGCCGGTGACTCAGCGAGAAACAGTCTGCTTGGACACTCCCGATGTTGGCAGCTGAGCTTCCGTGGCAAATCACCTTTTCATTACTCAATAAGCTCTGGACATGGAGGTCTCCCCGTGCCCACCCATGGGTGATGGGTTAGCAAACGGTGCTCCCGCTGTATCTGGCAGTGTATCACCCCACCTGAAAAAGGGAGGAGATTCCGACCCAGGCTGCAAGGAAGACGCCTGAGGACGTTATGCCAAAGGAAACAAGCCAATCAGCAAAGACGGGCTGCTGCGCCATCCATGTCCGGTCACAGAGACAGAAGATAGCCAGCCCGGGGCTGGGCAGGGGCCATGGGGAGCCGCGCGGTGTCAGAGGTGAGACACGACCTGGAGGCGGGTGGCGGTGATGGGCGCAGTTCAGCGGCAGCTTGTACGCGGAGCTCTGCACTTAACAGTGGCTAGGAGCGTGGCGTTTATGTCGTGTGTATTTGTAGGGAACGAGTTTAAAAGCAGGCTTTTCGTGCCCTCCTGCCATCAGCAACTGTGACCAACGCACCTGTGTGGGTAGATACCTGGGCCCAAGGGCACGGGCACGCGCGTGTGTAAACGGGGACACCTGGGTGAGGTCTGTAAGGTCCCTCTGGGGCGGGAGGACAGAGAGCGCGGAGCCAGGGCGACGCCGGGCGAGCTGGACGTCCGGCTCAGCAGGGAAGGCTTGCACAGCCTGCCGAAGGCGCCACAGTTACCTTCTCGTCTGGGAGACCCAGCAGTGAGCCTGCCCGCCTGGGGGCTGCATGACAGTATTTTACCACTGCAGGGTAAGTAAAGTATCAGGCTTTTCTGCCCTCCCGCCATTAGGATGGATGATGGATCCTTGTGGTCCTGAATCATGCCTGATGGCGGCACCTGGAGTGGGGTGTGGGCGTATGTAGATGGGATTCACCTGGGCTGAGATTGGGCTTATAAGGGTCGCGTCACGGGGAAGCCAAGAGAGCAGAAGAACAAACAGAAGAACCATGAGCAGAGCAGAGAAGCAGAGGACGCCAGAGGCGCCAGAAGGAGTGATGATTTGCTAGGAGACTGGCAGGCCTCCCAGCCCCCTGGCACCTCTTGCCAGCCGTGTACCTGGTAAATCCCAATAATAGTCTAGAAAAGCCTAGAGGCCTCCAGGATTCCTCCTTCACCCGTCTGCTGGAATCAGAAAACCTGCACTGTGCCCATTCCTGCCCCTACAACCACCAAAAATGGGGAGTGTGCTGTAGCGGCAGGAGGACACAGAGCAGGATCTCTATGCTCGAGCAGACCGGACCGGGCGAAGGAGAAGTCCTGGAGCCCTCGGTGGCTTTTCAGGCTTTTATTGGGATTCACCAGGTACACAGCAGGCAGGGGTGCTGGGGGGCCAGGAGGCTGGTAGGTCTCCCAGCCCCCAGCAAGTCTTCACTCTGCCTGGGCTCTCTGGCCTTCTCTCGTGGCCTTGTTCTCTGCTCTACTTGTGACTCTTCAGGTGTCCCCATGATGCCGCCCTTATAAGCCCAGTCTTAGCCCAGGTGAAGCCCATCTACAGATGCCCACACCCTACTCCAGGTGCTGCCATCAGGCATCACTCAGGACCGCAGGGATCCGTCATCTATTCTAATGGCAGGAGGGCAGAAAAGCCTGATGCTTTTACCTACCCTATAGGGGCGTTCTAGTATCAGCAGGCCGAGGGCAGGCTCCCCGTGGATTCCAGCAGGTGGAGAGTCCCGGGGCCCTCCATGCACTTTTGCAGGTCGTTAATGCTCTCGGGGAGCCAGGTGCACAGGCCGGCGGGCAGCAGGGAGGCAGGCCTGAGCCCCCAAGCTCCAGGAGTCGGCCCTTTCTCTGCCTCGCCGGGGTTCTCAGTGTCCGTCATCTCCAGCCTCGCGTCATCTCCAGCCTCGCCTCAGAGCGGTTCTCCTCGCCGTGCGGCTGCTGCTGCCACTTTCACCCTCCTCTAGGCACAGGTGTGAGCGCTTGCACACTCGCACAATCATGCTCTCAACGGCCCATGTGCCCCTTGCCCTGGCCCCGGGGCCCCTCGCTAGGGCCGGAGGGCGGAAAACAGCCTGATTTTTCATGTGCCCCAAGGGGTCCGAGGGTGATTTCTGCCCTTGACTCACCAGGGAAACCTCCCCGCTCGGGGGCTGGGCCTGCTGTTTACGCCGCGGTGCTGCCCCAGGCCCGCTCTGCTTCCTGCCGGCTTCCTGCCGCCTCTCACTTCTGCTTCCTTTGCCTGCTCTGTTTTGGGTGCCAGCGTCCTTGTGAGAGACGTAAACTCACACCTCTGAGCGGAGCTCACATCGATTTGTATCTTCATGAAGAGAAACGCAAACGCCCCAGCATTTTCCTTTATAATTCCAGCAGGTGCCCAGGACGATGCCGTCGGCCTCTGTTGATTTTGAGGTGACCAAACTGCTTCCCTTAGAAATAAAAGAAGGGTGCCCCGTGGCGGGCTCACGTGGGCGCATGGAGGCCCTCAGGCCCTTTCGCCTCCCACCGGCCTCCGCAGCCCGGATTCCTCCCAGGTCTCATCGCCCACGTGTGGCACCGTGTGGTGTGAGGAGGTGCTGGTGGCGTGGGCGCCTGTGACTGCAGCCCCCCGGGTGGAGAAGCTGGGGCACGGGCCTGAGGGCGAAGCGGGGCGGAGGGAGCGTGAAGATCTTCAGGAGATGAAAGAGAGAGAGCTCGGGATTGGGGGCTGGGTGGGGTGGGGGCTGCCTGACCCCCACTCCCCGGTTCCTTGTCCTCTGTCCGCCGTTCCCGGTCCCCGCCGCAGCGTTCAGTCTCCCGGGCTCCCAGCACCTGCATCCGTCTGCCCCAATCCAGGGAGCCCGCCCCGGCCCCAGGGCAGCCCCCAGGACGTGCAGAGCCGCCCAGGGATGTAGACCACGCTTCACTTTTCTCCTCCCACCGGCTGGCATCTTGCGGCTCTGGGTCAGCGCGCCCTGTTCTCGGCTGCTTCGCTGTCCTGCACGGCCTGCATCCTGCGGAGGAGGCCCTGCCGAGCCCCAACCCCAGGCAGGAAGGAAAACAAACACGTGGCCTCAAAGTAACAAAGACAAAGCTGCTTCGTGCTGTTTTCCAGCCTGAGATCTTTCTCCTGAGGAGCCCAGAGGCGCCCAGTCCCCAGCCTCTCCCTGCCCGCCCTCTGGCTGCGCCACGGTGTGTGTGCCTGTGGGGCTGGGCCTCCCCTGCATGGGCACCTCATGGTCACAAAATTGAACCATAGGACGACCTGACCAGTCTTAATTAAAATAAACAAATAAATAAATAAAAGTAAATCATTGTGAGAAAATTAGTAGAACAAGGGCTTTGTTAATAAAAGGTGAGCAGCGGCTTCCTTTCTCCTCTCTCCAGGCAGCCTGGCGCAGGCTTCAGGGGGAGGGTCCCCCCTCCACCCGAGTCCTGTGTGAGGTCCCGGGGACAGCGCTGCTCAGACCCCAGCCTTCCAGCCCAGGCCGCTCTGCTGCTGGGGTCTTGCTGGCCTCGGGCAGACTCCTGGGCCCACTGAAGCCTGCCCCTGAGGCTGTCTTCTACTAAAGGAGAAAATTCACCCAGGGCACAAAGCAGGAGCAATTAGTGGGGGCAGATAAGAGGGAAGAACCAGAAGCGCCTGAAAAAGAGGAAGCAGGGAGGTGGCGCAAGCCTTCTCCGCAACTGGGCACGAGCAGACAAGCTGAGACGCCGCCCAGGGCCTGGCGCCGCCGAAGGGAGCACTGCTCGTGGCTGAGCACGCTGCTGTCCCAGAATCAGAGACTGGTGCACAGACTGGGGTGGTCACATCAGCGAGCAACTGGGGCACCCAGAGAACCCCTAACCCCCATGCTCTAAAACGGGGTTCTGTCATCTGCATGAAGACAAAAGAAGCAGACTCTTGGTGTGATCGCTCTTCAATAGAATAATGTATGACAGAGAGAAGAAAGGATGTCAGTGTCCCAATAAAATATCCCAAGTTACCTGCCCCTTGTGGGCGAATGTCCAGCCCAACAGGGTCAACCTGAAGCAGGGCCGCTGAGGCCTGAAGGTTTGTCCCAAGCCAAGGCACCTCTGGCAGGGAACCTTAGGAAGGGATCCTGAAGCAGGTCCAAGAAAGCCAGGACCAAAAGTGGTACTGTTAGGGGAAAAAGGCTGTCCCAAAGCAAATTCCATACAGGCTTTGTGGACTCCACCCCCACCCCAG